GAGTCCGAGTCTGCTGATCAGGGCTCAACGAGCACTGAAATTGTTTTAGTTACAGAGGAAGAAATATCAGTAGTTCTCCGAGGTCTTAGAACCAACACAGCTCCAGGGCCGGACGGGATCCCAAATCGTGCGCTAAAGCTAGCCCTCGCCTTGCACCCAAGTACGTTCGCCGAATTATTTAACGAATGCCTCATCCAAGAGACGTTCCCGGCAAAATGGAAAGCCCAGAATCCGGTATTGCTACCCAAGGCTGGCAAACCACCGGATGAGCCATCTTCGTACAGACCGATCTGTCTCTTAGACACCATGGGAAAGGTGTTTGAGAAACTGATCTGCTCTAGGCTGGAGACTGCGATTGCAAGCGCCGGAGGCCTGTCACCAAACCAATTTGGTTTCCGGAAGGCCCGGTCAACAACGGACGCGCTTAACAAAGTTGTCGGTCTGGCCACTTCCGCTATTCAAGGCACCAGATGGAGGCACGGGACGAAGGAATACTGCATCATCGCAACCCTGGATGTAAGGAATGCCTTCAACACAGCTAGTTGGGATATGATACTGAATGCGCTGTCACAATATAATATCCCTAAATATCTAAGAGAGATAATAAAGAGCTACTTCAGAGGAAGAACACTGGTATACAACACGAGTGAGGGTCCCCAAACTCATACAGTGTCAGCTGGAGTACCCCAAGGCTCAGTGCTGGGGCCTCTCCTATGGAACATTATGTACGACGGCGTACTGCGCTTGGAACTACCAGCAGGCGCGCACACCATTGGCTTTGCTGATGATGTAGCTGTCGTAGCCATAGGAAAGGAGCTCAAAGATACAGAGGATATGTGCAGCGAAAGTATCAATCGCATACGAAGCTGGTTGACAGGAGCTGGGCTCGAGCTAGCGGCACACAAGACCGAAGTTGTACTAGTCAGCAGTCGCAAAAGAGTGGAAACTGCCAATATAAAGATCGGCAGCGTCACCATTGCGTCAAAGAGGGCGATAAGATATCTTGGTGTCATGATAGACACAAGATTAACTTTCCGCGAGCACTTAGAATATGTGCATAAAAAGGCAGCTGATTCTTGTAGAGCTCTCTCGAGAATCATGCTTAACACGCGGGGACCTAAACAGCAACGACGTCTCCTCCTAATGAGCGTCATTAGGTCTGTCATCCTCTATGCTGCGCCAATATGGGCAAGACCGATGGCAACGCCGAGCTACAGCCGAGGCATTTGCGCAATCTACAGGCTGAGCGCAATCAGAGTCAGCTGCGCTTTCAGGACTATCTCCGATGACGCGGCGCTCGTCATAGCCGGTATGGTGCCACTGGAGTATTTGGTCGCCGAAGCCGTGGAGCGGAATTCGCACGGGCCTACGCGACTCAACGCTGTCAGGGGCGAACAGCATCGCACGATGGCAAAGAAGGTGGAATAGCTCAGCTAAAGGGCGGTGGACGCACAAGCTCATTCCGGAGCTTGAACCATGGGTTAACCGCAAACATGGCGAGGTTAACTTCTACCTTACGCAGATCCTCTCGGGTCATGGATGCTTTCGGAGCTATTTGAAGCGCTTTGGCCACGAGGAATCTGACGAGTGCCCCTGGTGCGAGCGAGGGCATGTGGAAGACGCCAACCACATTCTTTTCGAATGTGGACGGTTCCTGGAGGAGAGGCGTCGTCTGGAAGAGGCAGTGGGCCGCTCCATCAGAGCGGACAACTTAGTCAACGCCATGCTGGAATCGGAGGAAGCTTGGGAACTAACAAGCACCTTCGCGGCCACGGTGATGATGGAGCTCCGCAGAGTCGAGCGACTGAGAAGACGAGCTGTCCCAGGCTAAGGTAGCGCATAGTGCTTGCGAAGCAATGCTTTACGGCCGTCCCGCAAGCACCGCGCGCTATCCTAGCCACCACGCAACTTGCAATTTGTTATTTTGTCAATAAATGAATATAAAAAAAAAAAAAAAAAAAAAAAAAACACACACACACACACACACACACACACACACAGACACACACACACACACACACAGACACACACACACACAGACACACACACACACAGACACACACACACACAGACACACACACACACAGACACACACACACAGACACACACACAGACACACACACACACACGTCGTCTGGAAGAGGCAGTGGGCCGCTCCATCAGAGCGGACAACTTAGTCAACGCCATGCTGGAATCGGAGGAAGCTTGGGAACTAACAAGCACCTTCGCGGCCACAGTGATGATGGAGCTCCGCAGAGTCGAGCGACTGAGAAGACGAGCTGTCCCAGGCTAAGGTAGCGCATAGTGCTTGCGAAGCAATGCTTTACGGCCGTCCCGCAAGCACCGCGCGCTATCCTAGCCACCACACAACTTGCAATTTTTATTTTGTCAATAAATGAATATAAAAAAAAAAAAAAACACACACACACACACACACACACACACACACACACACACACACACACACACACACACACACACACACACACACACACACACACACACACACACACACACATGGATGTGCATGTATTTGCTAAAGCACACCTCTAGAATTTGCAATACGCCTTTTACAAAAGTGATGGTGAGGGGGTGAATATAGGGGTGGGGGGTAAATTTTAACAAAAACCGATATTGTATAAATTGCATATAAGCATACATTAAAAATTTGGAGCCTTTAGCAATAAAGGTGTAGAAGATATAATTTTATAACTGGTTTTCGATAAGGTTTTTTATCGATAAAAAAGATCTGGATGATTTATCGATTTTTAACAGACGGACAGACAGACAGACGGACAGGGCTATATCGACTCAGCTCGTCACCCTGATCAAGAATATATATACTTTGTGGGGTCTGCCACGCCTCCTTCTGCCTGTTACATACATTTCAACAAAACCATTATACCCTGATTTCCCATTGAAAATGGGTTCAGGGTATAAAAATGCCCATTTAGTATGGCTTAAATTTCAATTTCGGTGTGTTTAAATCAGAGCTTGCAAATGAGAGTTGAGCGTTTTTTCGTTTATTCTCTTCCTCGCATCATAACCAAAAAAAATTGTGCAGACACGTCTCTCTCTGAGCGTCACTCTCTGTTTTCTTTAGCATCTGTTTCGCTCAGACGCAATGCGATCACTCATTCGTGTGACTCTCTCACATGAGTGTCGCGTAAAACTAACACGATTTTCCCTCACACAAAGCCTCTCAGCAAAAAACACTTTGACTAAAAAACTCAGCAGAAAATGTTTTTGCCTTCGTGTGCATGTAAATACACGCATACATACATACAAAAAGAACGCAGCAATCGCGCGTTATTACCCATACAAACGCAACTTACCGTTACTTCATTTAACTCAAGCAAACGATCAGTGTTTGACTTGAGGAAACGAAAACAGAAACAACTGTCTCCCTCAGGGCGCGAGAGAGCTAAGCCAGACGCGACAAATACAGTTTCTGTCTGAGTTTTTTTGACTGTGTCAGTGAAAGACACTTTTTTGCAGACAACGAAAAAGTGTTAGCAGTTATTTGCGAGCTATGGTTTAAATATATAAATGAAAAAAAAAAAAATAAAACAAAACTCATTTAATAAAATATAAAAATATTTTGAAACAAATGAAAAAATTAATATAACCGCACCGTTCGGCACTCGAACCCGCGACTTCTCGATCGAGCGTCACGCAGCTACTCACTACGCCACCTCACTTTCGGGAGCTGCGGTGGCAAAACTGAAATACATTCACTGCTGCAGCGCCATCTAGCTAAACTAAACCAAACTAACTGCTGATGTGATTCTAAGAATCTGCTAGAATAACCAAACTATTAAAAACGCACATTAAGTATGGTTACAATTTCAATTTCGGTGTATTTAACAATATAAATTAAATAGAAAACTCATTTATCAAAATAAAAAATATTTTGAAACAATTAGAAGAATTAACCTCAGTTGCACCGATCGGAACCGCGACTTCTCGATCGAGCGTCACGCCGCTACTCACTACGCCACCTCACTTCGCCAAGTGGCGCTGGCAAAACTCAAATAGATTCACTGCTGCTGCGCCATCTACCAAAACTAAACGAAACTAACAGCTGATGTGATTCAAAGAATGTTCTAGAAGAAGTTTGAATGTATGTGTGCAGACGTATACGATACTGTTGTAGCTGCTGCACGTGCGTTTGTTAATTGGCCAAATATTTGATAATTTTTTATTAATTATTGACTTAACGGAATTTAATGAAACTTTCAGCATATGATTCACATATTATATTAAATATTTTAGAAATTTAAAAAAATGAAAAATCATTCACAATTAGCTATAGTGGCATCTGACTTGAACTTGAATGTTTTTACTCGATGAAAACATAACGGGATGATTTATCGAATTTTAGAAGCAAACTCGACGTCCGCGCTGTATTTACGGTCATTTGAAAAAAAAATTGAAGTCTCTAGCTCTTATATCTTCGGAAATCGACGCGTACAAACATGCGGACAGACGGACGGATGGGCAGACGAACAGACGGACAGGGCAAGATCGACTCAGCTCGTCGCCCTGATCAAGAATATATATACTTTGTGGGGTCTGCCACGCCTCCTTCTGCCTTTTACATACTTTTAACAAAACCATTATACCCTGATTTCCCATTTTCAATGGGTTCAGGGTATAAAAAAAACTCACACACACATAACAATGAATTTGAGTTTTTCCTTCTGCTTAAGTCTATTACAAAGTGTTCATATATGCATATTTTATGTATGGGTTGACCACTTGACCACGTGAGTGCAAGCTCAGCTTTTCCCATATATATAGTATGTATATAGTGTATATATACAGTGGTTCACAGCTTATTTTAACCAGCACCTCAAAAAAAATTGAAACGCAGGTTGTTAATGTGATGTTTAAACTAATACAAAATCAATTCTGTATCCCCCATTTAATATTAAATATTATATATATATTTATTTTTATTTTCATTTTTTCCTGTTTATTTCTGTCGTTTTACTTAGGAGCTCTGGCATATGCTGAACTAGGCACAATGAATACCTCGTCTGGTGCGGAATGGGCGTATTTTATGGATGCGTATGGACCTGCTCCGGCTTTCTTATTTTCATGGGTATCGACATTGGTGTTAAAGCCATCTCAAATGGCTATAATATGCTTATCATTTGCACAGTACGCTGTTGAGGCTTTTGTGACAGAATGTGATCCGCCTGGAGGCGTTGTAAAGATGGTTGCACTAGTGGCAATAGGTAAGCTTTGCATGCAAAGTACAATACACATTTGAAAGTCTACAAAATTATTTTCTTGTATTGTTATTGCCAGTGATGATATTGTTTGTGAATTGCTACAGTGTTAATTTGGGGATGGCCGTGCAGAATGTCTTTACGGCTGCAAAATTGGTAGCTGTTATTATTGTGATATGTGGCGGCACTTGGAAACTATTTGAAGGAAATACGCAACATCTATCGAATGCATTTAATGGGCCAATGCCAAATATTGGCGCTATCGCAACCGCATTTTACACGGGCCTTTGGGCATATGATGGTTGGAATAATTTGAACTATGTTACCGAGGAGATTAAGAATCCCAGTAAAAACTTACCGCGATCTATTATTATTGGCATACCACTGGTTACTCTGTGCTACGCGCTAATCAACATCTCCTATCTGGCAGCTATGTCGGCGCAAGAAATGATCGAATCCGAAGCGGTTGCTGTGACCTTTGGCAATCGCATCCTTGGCGCCCTTGCCTGGCTAATGCCACTCAGTGTCACTGTCAGCACATTTGGAAGTGCTAATGGTACGCTCTTTGCCGCAGGACGGTATGTTACAAATGTAACCCCGCGACGTTTCACGGTGTCTTACTTATTAACTATTTTATTTGCAGTCTTTGCTTTGCAGCAAGTCGAGAGGGTCATTTGCTTGACATATTATCATATGTACATGTACGACGCTTGACTCCTGCTCCTGGCCTTATATTCCACGTAAGAGCACAAGCTATTTCTTCGAATTTAATCCATATTATTTCTTTTCTTATTTTTTGTTGTTTTTGTTGTTGTTCCAGTCGTTAATTGCATCAGCAATGGTGCTTCATGGTACAATTGATTCTCTGATTGATTTCTTCAGTTTTACCGCATGGATATTCTATGGTGGCGCCATGTTGGCACTAATCGTGATGCGTTACACCAAACCCAATCATCCTCGGCCATACAAAGTACCAATCATCATTCCCGTTCTGGTTTTGGTAATATCGGTGTACCTTGTAGCGGCGCCAATTTTCGAAACTCCCCGTATTGAATATTTATATGCTTTACTTTTCATTTTTGCGGGACTGATATTTTACGTCCCTTTTGTCAAGCTGGGAATGACTCCACGTTTTATGAGTAAGTATATGTAAGTTCAAGTTACCGAAAGCATAAAGCTATTTTCAAATTGTCTTCCTTCCTACTTTATTGCAGATAAGGTAACTCTTTTCTTTCAGTTGCTACTGGAAGTTGTTCCAACGTCATCAATGGCCATGTTTGAATAATTTGATTCAATGTGCGCAATAAACATAAAAACAACCAAAATGCAAAAAACTCTGAATGAAACGGAAATTCTAAGATTCTTATTAGTAATTGTTAAGTAATTAATTATATATATATATATATATATATATATATATATATATATATATATATATATATATATATATATATATATATATATATATATATATATATTATATTTTATATATATATATATATATAAAATATATATATTTTATTTATTTTTTTTTATTTTATTTTATTTTTTTTTTCAAATCATTGCAATCTCTCCAGCCAAACAAAAAACTTAACATTAACTATATGAAAACTACCATAACATTGTATGAAAGATACTATAAATTATAAATGTTGCATTTTATACGATTTAATGTGTATTTATAGTTCCTAGTATGCCATTAAATCAAATCGGAGTGTTGTGCTTTATTTTACCAACTAGAAATGTTAAATGTGAGTACGCACACTTGCGACCTTAGGACGGGATAATTGAATGAAATAAAAATTCAGATTGAAGGTTTGTTTATGGTTTTATTAATTTTTAGAAACTAAGGCTCACGGACGGACGGATAGACAGACGGACAGGGCTAAATCGACTCATCTAGTCGCCCTGATCAAGTACTGTAAATCATTAATTTTCAGCGGGGGCAGACTCAGTCTGCCCAAGGTACTCTCACAAGAATATTTATATCTGTGAGACACAAGGGAGGGGGTGGGCGCAAATTAAACGCAATTACTTACAATATATTCGGCGCTTCAATGCGCATATTTATTGTTCACTGCCACTTATCAACTAACCGCGTTTTATTATTTTATATTTTCTACATTTCTTCACTCAATTGCGTCTGTTCCGCACGACGCGCTCTCATCCTTAACTAACCTCTAACCTTAACGTCCGATCTGCACGACGCTCTCTTAATAACTCATTCCATGCGTCTGACCTCCGACGACGTAATCCTGGTTTGCCATTAATTCCCCCGCGACTTCTTTTGCAAGGGTGGCTCACCTCAACCGCTTGCCGGTTGCCGGGTGAGTACGTCAGCCACCACATCCAATTTCCCTCGACGGTAAAGATCCCGATACCGCTGCGGCTTAAGCAATTCGAAGTCCGGTACGAATCGCCTATACCAGGGCGGCAAATTTGAACATTGCCGCGACTACCTGAAGAAACTCAATTTCTCTCGATTCATATTGAGGTTGACTTCTCTCAGCCTGCGAAAGACCTCCATTAGATTTTCCACATGTTGCTCCATCGTGGCACCAATCACCACAATGCCATCCAACGCTCTCTAGAATGCTGGGCCTGCAGAAAGTAGCCCAAACGGCATCAGCCGCCGCTGGAACAGCCTTCCTCTTGGCGCTGTGAACGTTGTGCACTCTCTGTTGTCTGTCGACATTGGGATCTGCCAGTGCTTGCTTTCTAGATCCATGGTGGAGCCGAATTGTGCCGAGTGTGTAGCGAGCTGCCGGTAATGTGCGCGTTGCGTGGTCCCAACTCGAATCGATTCATCTACCTGCTCGTCAATTACTTTTCGCATAGCCGGATTCTTGATATAACATATTTTTCAAGAGACTTATTATCCCGCCTCCTGATGCTGCTCTCGGCTATATGCGATACTCCTTCAAAGCCTTTCCAAAGTGCCAACTTTATTTCCTCCTTCGTTTTCCTCTCCTCTGCGTTTTCCTCACAGCCTGCTCTTCGCACATCCCGCGTCGCTGGGCTACTCCAAAATTCGCCCTCCATCCCTAATTCTATCATCTTTGCTTCTGGCGGGAACCTCTCGGCCCGTCCTTCACCTCCTCCGGCCACCCTGTGTCACCGTGGGAAGATTCTACCTTTCTCTCCTCCTCCGCATCCTATACTCCTTGCGTTGCGGAGGGCGCCCTAGGTCGTTTCCCGTGTTGTCCTTTTCGCAGCATTCTCTCGTACTCTTTCCTTTCTCGCCGCAACGCCGACAAACCAACATCTGCTCGTTGCGGCAGTCACACTCGCCGTGACTCCACTCTGTATCCGTCATCAAGCGATGGGCCTCCGGCGCCGCCGCGTGGTCTACCACTGGCCTTCCATGGTTTCCAGTTCGATTCTCTCAGCAGTTTGTTTGGTTTAGTTTTGCTAGATGGCGCTGCAGCAGTGAATTTATTTCAGTTTTACCAACGCAGCTTCGAAACGTGACGTGACGTTGTGAGTAGCGGCGTGACGCTCAATCGAGAAGTCTCGGGCTCGAATCCACAGCGCGCAATTGATATCAATTTTTTTAATTGTTTGAAAATATTTATATATTTAATTAAATGTGTTTTCTATTTCTCTTTTATTTTTAAATACATCGAAATTGAAATTTTAACCATACTAAATTTGCGTTTTTATTAGTTTGGTTCATGGTAGTTTCTAGTCGAGCAGTCTCGAGTATAATAACTAATAACCTCTTCTATCGATGATCCAACAATAATTTTAACGCCTTTTTAGGGGCGTGGCATATCGAAAAATACCCTGTAATTTTCACATTTTTAGAGCGTAAGAATGAAAATTTTGCAGTTAGGGTACCGTTAGCTCGTTTAAAGAACTGACCAAAAATGAGGTGTCTACGCGTGAGGCGTGGCAAATCGGTAAAAACTGAATTTTCAATACTTACCCTGTAGTACTGGAGGTGGCGATTGACCGTAGTTGAACTACCTTCCCCACTAGTCCTTACATGGGTACTTACTTGACTGACCCTATGGTAAGCGAACGCCGAGCCACCGAGCAACAAACTACATGCATACATATATGCATGAAACGGCAGAAAGCATAAACGAAAAAAAAACGGTACTATCATTACATATATTTTTGGTTTTTTGCGAATAGTGCATAGGTGAAGGAATAAAACAATCTTCGCTTTCTGTCACTGTTCCTTTCATAATTTACAAAAACAATTGTTATGGAAGTACCGTTTCTTTTCATTTATGCTTTCTGCTCTTACTCGATGATCGTTCGCCCGAGCATTGCAAGTTTAGTGAAGTGCAAATTTAGTGAAGTTTTGTATTAATACATATGTAAGCAATTGCAACACAATTTTAATAATATAATATATAATAATAATAATATATAATAATAATAATATATAATAATAACAAATATAATAATAATAAAATAATCAAATATGTATAGTGAAAGTGTTGAAGGTTTTTCTTAAATGAAACACGGTATATGTAGGCGCAACGCAAAAAGTTTATTTAACACAATATTCAGTAACAAGTACACTTCTTCACGTACCGCGACGATTTGAACTTAACTAACCGAGCTGACACACTGACATTAATCTTACACAATGAACTTACTGAATGAACTTTGGCTCGACTTACAGCACGCTTATATACCTACTTCTACTGCATATCGAATGTTCTGGATGTCTCCTTATGCTTCTATGTTTGCGTCTATTTCATAATCCAGAACATTCGGTTTCTTATTCTAGAGACAAATGTGCGATCAGCCGACGACTGTGTTTACCGTTAGCTCAAATGCTCACTTGATGATGAGTTTTTCGAGATCAATCCTCAACACCCTCCCTAAAACTCAACATCTCTATAACAAATTTGTCCCTTATTCCTCATTCCCAATTTCTCTCTTAGATACAAAAATCTGGGCTTTGGCAAAGCTTTAGTAAAAATGTCAGCGATCTGCTCTTCACTCTTTACATACCTTACATCTATCTCACCTTTCTCAAATAAATCGCGTACAAAATGATATTTAACATCTATATGTTTGCTTCGTTGATGAAATTCAGGATTTTTGATTAGCTTAATCGCACTTATATTATCTATAAACAAGATGTAGTTACTTAAATTAATGTTACAATCAAAAAAACAATTTCTTTAGCCATATCATTTCCTTACTTGCTAGAGCTGCACTTACATATTCGGCTTCTGTTGTTGATAAAGCTACACATTGTTGTTTTTTACTTTGCCACGTTATTGCAGCATTCGCATATTTACACAAAATTCCAGATGTAGATTTCCGAGTTTTCTTATCACCTGCATAATCAGCATCACTATATGTCTCAAAAATATTATTATTTTTACTGTATAAAATTCCCAAATCCATCGTTCCTTTCAAATAACGAAATATTCTCTTAACTAACGTCCAGTGATGCTGCTTCGGGTTTTCTAGCTCTCGGGAAACTACATTAACAGAAAAACTTATATCTGGCCTTGAAACAACTTGTAAAAACATTAAATTTCCTATTGCTTCGCGGTAAGGTGCATTACAATTATTTTGTTCAGATACATTTTCATCAGACTTTAACGCTTCATTATAATTTAAAGGCAAGCTTTGTGTAATAAATGTAACAGGGCAACCATAAAAATCTGGCATACGAATCTGTGATCTATCTCGCAATCGCCGACCCATTTCACTATTATTATGTTCAGTTGATTCATCTTCAATTTTATTATTTTCGTATTCACTTTCATTAGTCTCACTTTCAGAATTGTCAACTAAAATTTCAGGCCTTTTAAACTGAGCTGTAAAGTTTTCTGGCTTAAAACATACATCTCTACTTATAATTACATCTCTCATATTTGGAACATATACACGATATCCTTTGCAATTTTCAACGTATCCTACTATAAATCCTTTAATAGACTTTTTATCTAATTTTCTCCTTTTTTTCTTTTGGTACATGTACAAAACATTCAGTCCCGAAAATTTTAAGATTTCCGATATCTGGCTCTTTCTTGAACCACAACTCATATGGAGTTTTATTCCCATGTTTTGTTGGACCTGTGCGGTTAATTACATAAACTGCAGTGTTTACTGCTTCTGCCCATAGAAATAATGGTATCTCAGAATTAGAATGCAACATTGATCGTGCAGCTTCAATAATATTTCTATTCTCACGTTCCGCAACTCCATTCTGTTCAGGTGTATAAGGAGCATTAACAATATGTTTTATTCCCTTCTTATTAAAGAACAATTTAACTTCTTTATTAATATATTCTCTACCCCCATCGCTGTGAATTTCTTTTATGTTTTCATGAAATTGATTCTGAAT